GGGGGGGGGGAAGGGTGCAGAGATGGGAGGTAGGTATTGTGTTTTATCAAACAAATAAGGAGGTTTACTGGCTAGAGAAATTGTGCCAACCAAAGTTCAAAGACATCTCCCAGATCCACTTGGCTTATCTCACCCATCTCCCTCCGTGCCCAGGCTTTGTAGAGGAGTAACACATGATACTGTACATTTCAGAGCTTCTGCCCCTCCTTCCAGAAAAGCATGTTTCCTTTACATGAATTCTACCTGGAGGATTCTGTGGAAACCCTTGGAATGGAGATGCTTTCCTGGTTACTAAATATCTTTTTTTTTTTTTTGAGACAGAGTATTGCTCTATTGCCCAGGCTGGAGTGCAAATGGCACGATCTCAGCTCACTGCAACCTCTGCCTCCTGGATTCAAGCAATTCTCCTGCCTCAGCCTCCTGAGTAGCTGGGATTACAAGTGCCCACCACTATGTCTGGCTAATTTTTTGTATTTTTAGTAGAGATGGGGTTTCACCATGTTGACCAGGCTGGTCTCGAACTTCTGACCCCAAATGATCCACCCACCTCAGGTTCCCGAAGTGGTGGGATTACAGGCGTGAGCCACTGCACCAGCCCCCAAGTGATAACATTTCAATTATATGGTTGTTCTATAAAAATGGAATCATTTGGGAACAGCAACCCAAAAACACTCTGCAAATACCAACAGTTCCACATCAGGGACCAGTTATCTCATTATGTCTTACTGCATCTCTTTCAGCAGGGAAATCGTCATTTTTAGTAATCGGTGCTAGCTCTGATTTTAGGAAGGAATAGAAGGGGAAAGAGTATGGTACCCCATCTGAAATGGGGTCTTAAAGTTCCCCCTGCCTTTCATCTGTTCTTGCTGTTCAGGTCCTCATCACCCCAGACACACATTTGAGGAGTTTCTGCGAAGTACTGGAATTTTGTTAGCAAAACAGAAATTATTATTCTGCCCCTCCCCACTCATCAGGAAGGACTTAAAAAGACGTGGATTGAAACATTCCTTTTAGGCCGGGCAAGGTAGCTCACGCCTATAATCCCAGCACTTTAGGAGGATGAGGCAGGTGGATCACGAGGTCAGGAGATCAACGAGGTCATCCTGGCTAACACGGTAAAACCCCATCTCTACTAAAAAAACAAAGAATTAGCTGGGCGTGGTGGCCTGTGGTCCCAGCTTTAAAAATCACTCTTTTTGGCTGGGCACAGTGGCTCACCGGTGTAATCCCAGAAACTTTGGGAGGCTGAGACAGGCAGATCACCTGAGATCAGGAGTTCAAGACCAGCCTGGCCAACATAGTGAAACCCTGTGTCTACTAAAAACACAAAAATTTTATTTTTTGTAAATAAAAAATTACAAAAAAATTTTTGGTAAAAATTCAGGAGGCTGAGGCAGGACAATTGCTTGAACCTGGGAGGCAAAGATTGCAGTGAGCCAAGATCATGCCACTGAACTCCAGCCTGGGCGACAGAGCAAGGATCCATCTCAAAAATCAAACAAACAAAAAACATTCCTTTTAACCTTTGCAGTGCTTTGCTAAGGTACAGGAGGTGAGTGTGCCTTGGGGGTTCCGGATGGCATGACTGACTGTGAGCATTGCCCCGCCCGACGCCTCCCACCTGATTAACTGCCCTAAGGAATACTCTAGGCCTAATGAGTTTTATTTCTTTTTTAATATAAGGTTGCAGAGGTATAGACGGCCTTTTATGAAACCTAGAAGTGGATCATATATAAACACAGATTTCCTAAAATCAAAATCACGCTGGGGTCCAAAGCCATGAAACATGTTGGCTGCTTATTAAACAAAAAAATGTCATTACCTCATTTCATAAGCCTCCTAAGTTACAATGTTTATACATTTTTGATAGGAATCCAACTTTGTTCCTTGTGTCCCTCGCCTCCTGTGAAGTAAGGTTTCTCTTCAACTAAATGCTGGATTTATAGCACAACTGCAATTCTGTTATTTCTAGACTAATATTCTCCCACAGTTCCTAAGTTAAACATTGCATTTCTGTATGTAATTTGTTACTATAATGTAACAAATTATAGTAACAAACTAAATAACCCCTGCCTGCCTTATTATTATTAACAAAATATAACAAACAAAATAACCCCTACCTGATTATTTCCATATGTAGTTTGCTCTGTATGTAATTTGTTACTTGCTATATACGGAGCAAACTACCTATGGAAATAATCAGGTAGGGGTTATTTTTTAAAGAACACTTACTGAATACAGAGGCCAGGTGCTTGTACACTGATAAAAATACCAATGTCTCATAAAAACACTCCAGCCTTGTCACCCAGGCTGGAGTGCAATGCTGCGATCTCAGCTCACTGCAACCTCTGCCTCCCAGATTCAAGCGATTCTCCTGCCTCAGCCTCCGAGTAGCTTCGAATACTGGGAATACAGGTGCTTGCCACCACACCTAGCTAATTTTTGTATTTTTAGTAGAGACAGGGTTTCACCATGTTGGTCAGACTGGTCTCAAACTCTTGACTTCAGGTGATACACCTACGTCGCCCTCCCACAGTGCTGGGATTACAGGTGTGAGCCACCACGTCTGGACCACAAAGAGTGATTTTTAAATTAAATTAAAAGTTGTCCAGAAGCTGGGCAGCCGAGGGCTTAGAAACAGCAAGAAAGACCAGGCCTGTCCCCCAAGCTTCCCCAACCTGGGCCTCCTTTCTGGCTCGGTCAGAACAGACTGGGTTTTGCTCTAGGGCTAATGAGCCCCCTGGTTCAATAACACAGGCTCATTCCTGGCTCTCCTCACATCCCTGGCAGGTAGAGGCTGTGGTCCTGCTCCACTCAGCCAGAGTTTGGAAATGACACGTCACTTCCTTTCACATTTTGGGTTTTTTCTGTTCTTGTTTTTGAGACAGGGTCTGGCTCTGTCACTCAGGCTGGAGTGCGGTGGCACAATCACGGGTTCATGGCAGCCTGGCCTCTTGGGCTCAGGTGATCCTCCCACTTCAGCTGCCCAAGTAGCTGGGACCACAGGAGTGTGCCACCATGCCTGGCTAATATTTTTTTTCGTATTTTTTTGTAGAGACAAGGTTTCACCATGTTTCCCAGGCTGGTCTCAAACTGCTGGACTCAAGTGATCTGCCTGCCTTGCCCTCCCAAAGTGCTGTGATTATAGGTATGGGCCCCCACACCCCGCCTCCTTTCACATTTTATTGGCCAAAGCAAGTCATATGAGACGGGGAAGTATAATCCTTTCCCAGAAAGAGAGTGTTAATTTTTCAGAAAGTTTTTATTTTGAAATGATCGTAGATTCCCAGGAAACTGCAAAAATATACTGATAGGTCTTATGCCCTTCACCCAGTTTACCTAGTGGTAACATCTGATGCAATTACAGTGCAATGTCACAATCAGAAAATGGACACTGGCTCAACCCACAGACCCCATTCTATGTTCAGCAGTTTCACACTACCTCATCTGTGTGTATGTGTGTGTTTCTACCCAATGCTGCCACATGTGCAGATTCATGAAGCCACCACCACAGACAAGACAAAGAACATGCCAGCACCAAGGAGAAGTCCCCTTTGTGGTCTGCCCATCCCCTTCGCCCCATCCTGATAATCCCCCTGCACCCACAAATCTCTCCTCCCTGAGAATGTCACACCTAGAAACATCCAGTGTGTGACCTTTGCAGAGTGGCTCTTTCACTCAGCATGATGCCCTGGAGACTCAGCCGTGCTGTGTGTTCACTTCCGATTGCTGAGATGTCCTCTGGGGTATGCGCAGAGGAATATTTTCTGAATAGTGAGAATCTAGCATACTCCCCAGCTCCATTTTTTGGTCCTGGTGTTTGATTTACACATGGCACTTTCATTTTCTCAGGCAGTTCAGAGGGAAGGTGCTGAGGCTGAGCCACATGGGGAGGGCACCTGGGCACCTGTCACCCTCGCAGTCCCCCTAGAACCTGGAGGAGGAGGAGAGCCCCAAGAAGCACTCAGACACTAGTTATTGGATTATTATCTTATTTCATGGAGGTAAGTCTGTCTCCTTGGAGGGCTGGGGTGGGACAAGGGGGTGGGAGTCCTCACAAGTCCTAGGATTTTACCAGACTTCTCTGGCTCGAGGCAGAGGCCAAAGTCCTGTCTCATTCAGGAGCCCTTGGGCAAGCCACACAACTGTTCTGTTAAATGAGGAGAGTAGATCAAACAGGTTCTAAGGTTTCTTCCAGCTTGAATTCCACGGATTCAGGTTGGCAGAAGACTGAGCTCTAGGGAGGCCCTCCCTAAGGAAACAATAATGAAGGTCATGTACTTTATTTTGGAAATCAGGCCAGGGACAGCTCCAGTTTTGGGGGAAGGGGAAGAGATTATAACTTTTCAATCTACTAGGAAAATAAAAAAGGGGGAATGTGAGAGGTTTCCCTCCTGTGTTATGTCACCATCTGTAATTAGATCAGACAGTCCAGCCCAGAATCATAATTCACATAACAGCGAAACTCATTTGCCAAGTTCCGGGTGTGTTTTGGAATAAACGTGCACATCTTCACTCCAAGGAGTTCTGCTGCCTGTTCTTCCATGACGGCCCCTGAAGAGAACAAAGCAAGTGAATCCAGAGAGTGACAGCCCAGCCGGAGCTCAGTGCCTTGTGAGCTGTGAGAGGGGCTCTAGGAGGACCACTGGGGGCAATTAGGTGACAATTCACAAGTTGGTGGAGGGGGAGCAAGTCTTCTTTACATTCCCTTTCACCTTCTCCAACGTTTTTGCAATTTACCAACTTTTTTCCATGTCTTTTTTATTGAATGAATTATTTTCCTACCTCTGCAGAGCCAGGACACTTAGAAATTTAGAAGCAGATTATACACATACACACACACACACACACACATGTATTTTGTGTGTGTGTGTATATATGGAAAACAAAAATAATTACTAAAAACTAGCATTTCCCAACGTTGAGCCAAGAGTCTTTTTCAGTAATATCCAATCTTGCAAATAGGTACGAATGCATTCCCACCATCTTTTGCTATCTCCTCCCTGTTTCTCCCGGCCCCGGACCCTCCACGCACGGCCAGCTCCCCTGAGACATCTGGTAAGAGGTGGCATCCACAGCCCTGATTCCTGCCCTCTCTTCCCCTCCACACTCGAGCATAGTGAGCTCCCCCGACTTCATCTTCAAACCAACTCTGATGCCCCTGCCCTGCCCTCCTTGCAGGCCACCGCCCTCCCTGGGGTGGTGGACACCTCGGGTGCTGAGAATTAAAGAGATCGGTCAGTTGGTAACATTTTAGTTCTCAGCAACAGCCCACGGTGCCCAGATCCACGCTCCCCAAAACCTCTTCGGTCAACCTAAAGCAAATGTCTTATGTCTTCAGACAAGTTGCGCTCTGCCATCTTGGGCTTCCAAAGAAAGCCCCAACGCCCACGTCCCCTCTGTTAGGCACTGGGGGCTTCCCGCCTCGATACTGTCCTCGTGGGCGGCTGCAACCGTGGCTCCTGACCCTCAGGTCTCTGGGGCAGAGTGCAGGTGCCTGGGTCTCTGTTACTCTTCTCAGAGTTAATGCTTCCTGTCTTTGGTCTATTTTACTTTTTTTTTTTTTAAGTACCCCCTAAAACTAAAATGTATACTCCATGAGTCCAGAGCGCTGCCTGCCGGAGCACAGAGGAAAGGAGGCAGCGGAGTGAACGAGCCTGCATGGAACCGCGGCGGGTGTGCAAACACAGCGGCCCTCCCCACATGCGCAGCTCCGTGGCACCAGAACAGGCCCCCCGGGGCTCCACTTCTGGCCCAGCCCTGCTCCCAGCAGGGTGCCCAGGGGACACGCAAGGCCCCGACGGACTGGGGTATAGCGCCCGGAACAGTGCTGAAGGGTGTGGACACCACCAGTGCCCAGAAGTAAAGACCCCGGCCAGTTGGTGACATTTTAGTTCTCAGGTTTTTCCTTTTTATTTGAGACAGTCTTGCTCTGCACCCAGGCTGGAGGGCAGTGGCACCATCGCAGCTCACTGGAGTCTCCACCTCCTGGGATTAAGCGATCATCCCACCTCTACCTCCCAAATGGCTGGGACTATAGGCCCACACAACCACGCCTGGCTGATTTTAAAATTTTTGTTTTTAAAAATAGCAAGGGGCCTTGCTATGTTGCCTAGGCTGGTCTAGAACTCCTGGCCTCATGCAATCCTCCCACCTTAAAGTTCTCAGATTTACTCTATTGAATTTTGCCATGCCTGCCTTAAGAAAGTATATCGAACCCAGACTGGTGGTGCATACCTGTAAGTCCCAGCTACTTGGGAGGCTGAGGTGGGAGGTTGCTTAGCCCAGTGGTTCGAGGTTACAGAGAAAAACAAAAAGAAAACTCTTCTACTTTTAGGAACCTAGTCTACTCTTTGAACTCTATAGATTCCAAATTTCTTTTTGATAAAAGTGTAGAGGTTGGATCAAGTACCACCACTACTGATGATGATGGTACATAAAAGTAACAGCTGATATTCATCAAGCAGTCACCATGCACCAGACTCAGTGTTGGGTACTTTATGTGTCACTTAATTCTTTAGGACCCTTAATGGCAGAGAATATTATCAGTCCTAGTTTACAGATGAGGAAACCAGGGCACAAAGAGTTAAATAATTTGTTCACAAATCACACAGGGAGTGGTGGACTCAGGATTTCTTTTTGACCCTTAAGACCTGAATAGCCACTGTCAGTGACTTTCTTGAGGCATCAAATGCAGCACCTACCTGTGCACAGCAGAATCTTGCCCTGAGTCAGGTACTTGATGGTTTCTGATGTTTTTCTGAGACATTCCTCCGAAAGATAGGGAGGATCTGCTATTACCATGTCAAAACTATGTGCAGCAATTCTTTCGGGTAAGTCCAACGGATTATTGTAATCATAGAAAATAAACTCCTCTCCATACATGGCAAATCTTTTGTCATATTCAAAGATGTATACAGAAAAGTCTTCTCTGCACATCTCTCTGAGTTTCTGGTAAACACTGGGGGCACTCACACATGCGATTCTAGAAAACAAAATGAACACACTCATGAAACATCTTTAATAGAGAGATTACAGTGTTAACAACTACTTCACTAAAAAATACATATAGGTCCGAATGCTCAGATTTTCTTACAAGAAATAATAATGCAAACTAGTGTAACAGTCAATGTTGAGAAAAAACTTTATAGTATCTCACTTTTAAGGAATTTCGTAGTTAAAAGTCTGTACCTTCTTCTACATAGAAGATAAAGAGAAGAAAAAGAAAAAAAAAAAGTCTGTATCTTTTTTTTTTTTTTTGAGATGGAGTCTCGCTCTGTTACCAAGGCTGGAGGGCGGTGGCATGATCTGGGCTCACTGCAACCTCTGCCTCCCGGGTTCAAGCGATTCTCCTGCTACTCCTCCCCAATAGCTGGGATTACAGGCACATGCCACTGCACCTGGGTAATTTTTTTGTATTTTTAGTAAAAATGGGGTTTCATCATGTTGGCCAGGCTGACCTTGAACTCCTGACCTCAAGTGATCTGCCTGCCTCAACCTCCCAAAGTGCTGGGATTACAGGTGTAAGCCACCGTGCCCAGCCTGTAACTTATAAAGACAAGAAACAGGTTAGAAAGTGTTAAAAGGAACAGAGATAAGGTATTCCACAATGAATAGAGTTCTGAGTGGGTCTCTAAACTCAGTGTTGAAGTGGGCCTTAATTTGTCATGTGCTGCAAACCATGACCTACAATTTTTGCAGATTACAGTTCAGACTTCTTATAAACCATCTGTCATCCAGGAAGGACATTCAAAATATTACATTAGATTATAAGGCAACAAGAGAAACAAAATTTGAATCTCACCTGCCACCCTCTCCTACAGCCACAGTTGCCTCCTGTGCAAGTCGCAGAGCAGTTTCCTGACTATACCAGAACTGACTCAATTGCTGTAACAGAGAAATGGGTTGGTAGCATTTTAGAACTGGCGTATGCTTTGTTCTTTTAATTTACATCTACTATACCAATGTTCATATATTTTTAAAAAATTTTTGTTTTGCAAATTAATCTTTCTTTGAAATTAAATTAATACAAGCCCCTAATGAATTAATGGAATCTAGGCATCAATGCCTATTAACATCACAAAAGGAGACCACCAGTGTTTCCTGATAGAACATACCCACACCTTTGGATGAGTTTTGCCAAAAAAAAAAAAAAAAAAAAATAGAACTTGAATCTGCTTAAGTTTCTAGGTTCAACCAATAATGAACAGAATTACAAACACAGAGGATGGAAGAATGAGTTCACTAATACCAGAGGATGCAATTAGCAAACTCCAGACTGTGCCCCTTGTCCACAGCCTCATTTTACCTTATACATGTTTCCTAAATTACTTGTTTTTCCCTTGGGAGCAAGTTTGTTTTTCATTTTGCTCCTTCTGTTTCATCCTGATTGATGATTTTTAAAAACTTTCTAGTGATCTTTAATTATCTATTCATATTTATAAATTAAGCAGGAGTTTAATGAAAAAGGTAGCATGGTTTTCCTCTGTAATCATACAAACCCATTTTTCCAACAGGCCTCTCTCTTCCCTGAATGGCAGGGCTGGGGGCAGCAGTTGCGTGGGGCATGCCAACTGGGGGTTCTCTGCTTTAAAAATCTGCCCTGTGTGGGAACAACCCAAATGCCCATCAACTGATGGATGGACAGACAAAATGTGGTACATCCATACAATGGAATATTATTTGGCCATAAAAAGGAACAAGGTACTGATATATGCTATATGGATCAGCCTTGGAAACATTACACTGAACAAAAGAAATCAGACACAAAAGGCCACATATTGCGTGACTCCATTTATATGAAATGTCCCAAGTAGCAAGTCTATAGAGACAGAAAGTAGATTAGTGGTTGGCAGGCACTGGGAGGATTGGGAAATTAGGAGGTAACAGCTGAAGGACATAGGGTTTCTTTTAGAGGGAATGAAAATATTCTAAAATTGACTGTGGTGACAGTTGGACCCACCTGTGAATTTACCAAAACCATTCACTTGTATACTTTTAAAAGATGAATTTATGGTATGTGAATTCTATCTCAACAAAACTGAGATCTACTGAAATAAAGAGAGCTTTACTCAGAGTATGGAGGACTTTTGTGTACTTCCTTCCTGAAAGGAGGTGCCTTTTTCCTATGGTGAAGCTCTGAAGTTATCTCAGATTGTATTCTGTGTCTCTTTTTGGCTTTCCTACCCAAATTAGGGCATCCCAAAGCAGATTCTTAGTGAAAACTCCTCTGGGATTCAGCCTGGAGGCAAGAACCTCTGATGCTATGTATGCCTTCAGGATACAATCAGAGGAAATAAAAGAGACCAACTGGCCCAAAGATGTTGGCAGGCCATCCTTTAATCAAGCAGAAATTGGCCCATGAGCTACTTTTACCACTTATGTTCACAGGCTCTGAGTTTGGAACCCAGAGTCTCTGGTTCTTTTCTGGAAGACAGACTCTCATCTGTGCTGCAGTTCTCAGAGAGGCTGGTAGTTTTGTCTGCTGTTCCACAGACCATCTTACATCCATTTTCTTTCTTCCAGAAGTTTACTGAAATTCCTGTCAATAGCATCCTTTGTTTCTTTGTTGTTTTTTTTACACTGGAATTGTTTTTTTAAAAACATCTTTACTCTTCATTTAACAGAAAAGAAAAGTGATCATTGAGGTGGCTAGTCCACCATCTTGAGTCGGAAAGTAATGATTATACTTAGTAGATACATACCCAAATTTTACCTCTTCAAACTTAACTTTGTAACCTAACATTGTAAGGCATCATAGCTGCGTTTCTTAAATAAAACTAAGAAACTGTACACTTGACCCTTTTTCAGTATTCTAGAGTTTATTATTTCCCCTTTGACAGTGATTTAATTATTCCCGTTTTCACTGTTACAAACATGCCACAATGACTATTCTAAATATCCCTCTTGTATACATGTGCATACAACTCTGTGTAGAGATTTTTAGAAATGGAATTCCTAGCTGCAGGGCATACACAGTTAATATTTTGGTAAATATTGCCAAATTGCCCTCCAAAAAGGTTGAGCCAACTAAAAAAACTACCAACAGTATTTTACTGTTTTAATTTGCACTCCTCTATTGTACATTTGAGCATCTTCTCCTGTATTTAATAATTCATTTTTATTTTTCTTTTGTCAATTGCTTCTAGCCTTCCCTAATTTTTCACAAGATTTACTGTTTTATTACTGACTTATAGAAGCTCTTTAGATAGTCTGTGAGAAAAAAAATGACAGGTGTCAAATAGAACTAGTTTGCAACTAGTACCTAGGTCCAGGTATTCCCTACTTAACAGAAACTATTTCAAAGAACATCAACATCAGATTGAGTTATTCATGTGATGGAGCAAGACAAAAATATGACCATTCTAAAAAATAAAAATAAAATAAAATAAATGACCATTCTGTAATCATACCTGAGTGCAGATAAAAGAACACTGTGCAAATCACAAAAATGACGATGAATGCCTCTTTACCAGCTAGCATGGGTGCCTGCTGATAACTTTACCAATTACACCTTTAACTTCATTTGATTCCGCCCGCCTCCTAGATAATAATTATTCTGGCTTTTTGACAAACTTGCTCCAACACCTAATGCAAGCCAACATCACAAAATAATCTCCTCTTAGCAGCCTCTTACTAAAATGTCCCGCAGGCTGCCCATGGTGCACAGCCTCTCGTGTTCCAATGAGTGCCTATAGGTGTTTCCCGGTATCTTTGGCTGGAGGACACAGACACCTGGATACTAACCCTTTGCTCTCAAGCATGATACAAATATTTTCTCCTCATCTTTCTCCTGTCTCTTAAGCTTGTTTATGGTATCTTCTGTTATCAATAAGTTTCTAATTTTATATTGTCAACTTTATCAATCTCCTTTATGACTTCTTAGTTTTGACTTTTCTACCTTAAACTATAAAAATATTATCCCATATTTTCTTTTAATATTTTATTTATTTATTTATTTACTTTTATTGAGACAGAGTCTCACTCTGTTGCCCAGGCTGGAGTGCAGTGGTGCAATCTGGTCTCACTGCAACCTCCACCTCCGAAGTTCAAGCGATTCTCCTGCTTCAGCCTCCCGAGTACCTGGGATTACAGGTCTGGCTAATTTTTGTATTTTTAGTAGAGACGGGGTTTCACCATGTTAATCAGGCTGGTCTCAAACTTCTGACCTCAAGTGATCTGCCTGCCTTGGCCTCCCAAAGCGCTGGGATTACAAGCGTGAGCCACCGCGCCTGGCCTAATACTTTTATTATTTTTATGTTTAGCTCTTTACTCCACCTTGACTTTAATTTTGTGCATGGATTATGATGATTATTTTTTTCCCCAAATCTAGGATACACCAGGATTCAATTCACACCTGTCACTTTCTCTAGGTGGGTTTCCTTGACTCCCCCTCCACCTCAAAAGTCTGGGAAGGTGTCCTTGCGTTTTTCTTCCCATTTTGCTCCAATCATCACTTTCGTCTCAGAATAGTTTGCTTGAGAGCAAGGGCAGTGTTTTATTTATTGTTCTACTACACCTGACCTTTTTGTTTTGTTTTGTTTTGTTTTTGAGATGGAGTCTCACTCTGTCACCCAGGCTGGAGTGCAATGGCTTGATCTCGGCTCACTGCAACCTCCGCCTCCTGAGTTCAGGCCATTCTCCTGCCTCAGCCTCCCGAGTACCTGGGACTACAGGCACGTGCCACCACACCCAGCTAACTTTTTTTTTTTTTTTTTTTTTTTTTTTTTAGTAGCAATGGGGTGTCACTGTGTTAGCCAGTATGGTCTCGATCTCCTAACCTCATGATCCACCTGCCTCGGCCTCCCAAAGTGCTGGGATTACAGGCGTGAGCCACTGTGCCTGGCTTTTTTTTTTTTGGTATTTTTATTTTACGTTCTGGGATACATGTGCAGAACGTGCAGGTTTGTTGCATAGGTATACATGTACCATGGTGGTTTGGGGCACCGATCAACCTATCATGTAGGTTTTAAGCCCCAAACGCATTAGGTGTTCATCCTAATGCTCTCCCTTTCCTTGTCCCCAAGCCCCTGACAGGCCCCAGTGTGTGATGTTCTCCTCCCTTTGTTCATGTGTTCTCATTCTCAACTCTCACTTATGAGTGAGAACATGCAGTGTTCGGCTTTCTGTTCCTTGTTAGTTTGCTGAGAATGATGGCTTCCAGCTTCATCCACATTCCTGCAAAGGAGATGAACTCATTCTTTTTTATGGCTGCATAATATTCCATGGTGTGTATGTGCCACATTTTCTTTTTCCAGTCTATCAATGATGGGCATTTGGGTTGGTTCCAAGTCTTTGCTATTGTAAATAGTGCTGTAATAAACATACATGTGCATGTGTCTTTAGAGTAGAATGGCTTACAATCCTTTGGGTATACACCCAGTAACGGGTCAAATGGTATTTCTGGTTCTAGATCCTGGAGGAATCGCCGCACTGTCTTCCACAACAGTTGAACTAATTTACACTCCCATCAACACTGTAAAAGCATTCCTATTTCTCCACAGCCGTGCGAGCATCTGTTGTTCCCTGAGTTTTTAATAATTACCAGTCTAACTGGCATAAGATGGTATCTCATTGTGGTTTTGATTTGCATTTCTCTAATGACCAGTGATGATGAGCTTTTGTTCATGTTTCTTGGCTACATAAATGTCTTTTTTTCTTTTGAGAAGTGTCTGTTCATATCCTTCACCCACTTTTTGATGGGTTTTTTTTTCCTTGTAAATTTAAGTTTCTTATAGATTCTGGATATTAGACCTTTGTCAGATGAGCAGATTGCAAAAATTTTCTCCCATTCTGTAGGCTGCCTATTCACTCTGATATAGTTTCTTTTGCTGTGAAGAAGCTCTTTAGTTTAATTAGATCTCATTTTGTCAATTTTGGCTTTTGTT